CTTGAAGGCTGAAACATTCAGGTGGGGAGTATGGGGCCTTTTAGTGCTGTTCAACATCGTCACTCTAGCTACAGTTTGTGTACTACAATGTACACATGTAATATCATTACCAATTGATTCTTTATCTCAGCAGCCAAATTGTGTTGTGCTATCTTCCACGCAAATGTGTCTTATAGGAGGAGTGCAGTCATCGTGTCGTTATTGTCATTATGGCTATGCTGAGTCCATTCTGGGCCAATCTTCTAGAGAGCGCCCAAGCAATGCCAGCAGCAAAGGCCAACGTGTCATGCGTTCAATCTAATGCTGCACCAGAAACTGAATACATCGGCCCTGATGGAAGAACACTACCGCTTGTACGTACTCTCCATGAGCTGGAATTCGATTATTACTGCAAAGACCAAAACCATCCCTTGGCGCCCAAGCAACCGGATGTCCCTCACCAGGATAACTGTGTGAATCATTGGGCGTGCAAACGGCTTAGCACAACGCATGAAACCATTCCCACGCACATGTTCAGTTATGTGCACCATATTGACACGGAAGTGGACGCCGCCGACATTTGCGGCTGTACCGCCAGCATATACCACCCGCTGCATCTGAGACGTGCGAACAGCACTGAAGACTGGAAGCTCGAGGCAGCGAGTGATTCGTTTATCATCACTGGATATTCTTGCAGCCACAAGAAGGAGTGTCGAAAGTATAATTGCTAAGCACATACAAGTGTCAACAGATTGAACTGTCTTCCTTCTGGAATCGGTCCATAGTGATCGCCATAATGCATTCTCTCTCTATCCTCTGTATTCTCTAAGTTTACTAAATCTCCAAATTGTATAATAATTGATGTAGTTTTGTGCCTAGTTATTGCACTTTCTGACTGTATATAGTATCATGTTACAGTGATGGATAGTTACTCTTAACTCGTATCCATATGTCCTTTTCTCTTCTACATATTATTTATGGCTCAACATCCGAGTTTCAAATTGTATAATAATTATTATCTATATTGGCAGTGGCCTATATCATTATGAGAATTATCCCGAATGCTACACCTGCAAGTGTATAATTACATGAACATGTTCAAACTAACATATCTGCAACAATTGTAGCTTATTATTTTGACACCAGCGACACGTTTGGTGAATGAACGTGAATAATAATGTATAATCTATATTCTTACAATGGCTGCAGCCAATAAGGGATCTTGAGATATACCTACAGTATCCGCCGAAAGATAAGAGAAGGTGCCCTTTCCAGCCGACAATGGTGGACAACCGTCAAGCGAGCAGGTGGGCAAGGACACCGCTCTGCAGACATACCTGTTCTGCGTGCGTCGAACGGAACTGAGCACACCACCTGCAGCGAAAAGGCCGAAGCATTCGGGCAGTATTTCTCCGCAAAGTGCAGTCTTGGTGACAACGACTTGCAAGCCAACAGCCTCCCTCCAGTCCGCCCCCGATCGCAAGCCCAACTCCGCAATGTCCACTTTCGGCCAAGCACGGTTGAGCGGAAGCTGAGGCAACTCCACCCCGCCAAAGCCACGGGTCCAGATGGCATCCCCGGGCGTGTACTCCGGCAATGCAGCAAAGAGCTGGCTGCACCAGTGTCGCGGCTCTTTTCGCAGGCCTTCCACCAAGGTCGGCAACCTACAATGTGGAAGACGGCAATGGTTGTGCCGGTGCACAAGAAAAAATCCAAGTCTGATGTTAAGAACTACCGCCCGATCTCCCTCCTCTCAAAAGTCATGGAGGCCATTATTAACCACTCAATCCGACAGTTCCTGGAGGCACACAACATCTTATCGAAAAGTCAGTATGGCTTCCGCAATTCGGCACCCAGGACATACTCACGCTACTCAACTACCAATGGAGTCGCGTTGCAGCCAGAGGTGGTGTAGTTCGAGTCATTGCAGTTGATGTGGCTGGCGCATTCGACCGCGTCTCTCATGTAGGCGTTTTGCACAAGGCACAATGCTATGGTGTAACTGGTCCACTTCTCGCTTGGCTGAGGGATTACCTGACTGATCGTCACTTGAGGGTTGCAGTTGGAGGTGAACTTTCCAGTCCGTACCCGACCAAAGCTGGCGTGCCGCAGGGCAGTATCCTTGGCCCCACCCTGTTCATCCTCTACACCAATGATGGCGAGGACCACCTCCCACCAGGTATGGAGCTAGCAGCCTACGCTGACGACACCACTCTCTTCCACTGCCTCACATCAAGAGCTGACATTGACTGTGGCTCCGAGCTCCTCCAGCAGGGCATTGATGTGTTTTCCCGTTGGGGACATAAGTGGAGGATCAAATTTGAGCCCTCCAAGACGCAGGCTATGTCTATAGGCCACCATCGCCAGCCCTGGGAGCTCCTCGAGCAACATTTGACGGCACACCGGTCAGTGAAGAGAGTCGGCTGAAACTCCTGGGAGTCACCTTTGACGACACCCTGAGCTACTCCTTCCACCTCCGCTCCCTAGCTTCCCGTGCTAACCAGCGGATTGGCTTCCTGAAGCGAGCGTCTCCCATTCTGGACGCCGAGAGCCGCCAACGCGTCTACAACGGCTTTGTGCGACCACACTCGAGTATTGCCCCTTAGTGTGGATGGGCTCACCCTCGTCCCATCTTAAGAAGCTGGACCAGATCCAGCGAAGGGCCCTCCACATCATCGGAGCAGGTACTTGGCTCCCTAGCCTGGCACTCCGTCGCCTGGTAGCTGCACTTGCCTATACCTACAAGCTCTGCTATCTAGATGCATCCAGCCCTCTGAAGCAGATGCTGCCTAAACCAGCCACTCACCGTGCCCCCGAGACAAGACCTACCCTGTCAGTCTCTCCAGCTGCAGGATTCCCATCCATACCAGATGACAACTGGCCTGCCTGCCAACACCCGGAATAGCTGTCTCCAAGGATTCCCTGCTTGCACCGTTGCAACATGGAATGCCCTGCCACCAGACCTGTTCCACCACCCACCCGCCCAGCCTCACATGCAAAGCTTTAAGAAAAAGGTGTACCGTCACCTTCTTGCTCAGGACTGGCTCTCTGCTACTGATGCACTTTGAATCTGCTCGCCAACGCTTTCCCTGTTCTTATTAGTGTTCAACTGCTTACCTTATAACCCTGCTGTCATCATCACCAATATTCTGATTCTCATGCACATATCCCAGAACCTGCTATCCTTCGCAGTCCCCATCACCAAGAGCACTGTGCTCTTCTATCTCCCAGCTCTCTCTCTCTCTCTCTCTCTCTCTCTCTCTCTCTCTCTCTCTCTCTCTCTCTTTCTCTCTCTCTCTCTCTCTCGCCCTCTCTCTCTCTCGCCCTCGCTCTCTCTCTCTCTCGCTCTCTCTCTCTCTCTCTCCATCTCTCTCTCTCTCTCTCTCTCTCTCTCTCTCTCTCTCTCTCTCTCTCGCTCTCTCTCGCTCCCAGCTCTCTCTCTCTCTCTCTCTCTCTCTCTCTCTCTCTCTCTCTCTCTCTCTCTCTCTCTCTCTCTCTCTCTCTCTCTCTCTCTCTCTCTCTCTCTCTCTCTCTCTCTCTCTCGCTCTCTCTCGCTCTCTCGCTCTCTCTCGCTCTCTCGCTCTCTCTCGTCTCTCTCGCTCTCTCTCTCTCTCTCTCTCTCTCTCTCTCTCTCTCTCTCTCTCTCTCTCTCTCTCTCTCTCTCTCTCTCTCTCTCTCTCTCTCTCTCTCTCTCTCTCCTCTCTCTCTCTCTCTCTCTCTCTCTCTCTCTCTCTCTCTCTCTCTCTCTCTCTCTCTCTCTCTCTCTCTCTCTCTCTCTCTCTCTCTCTCTCTCTCCTCTCTCTCTCTCTCTCTCTCTCTCTCTCTCTCTCTCTCTCTCTCTTTCTCTCTCTCTCTCTCTCTCTCTCTCTCTCTCTCTCTCTCTCTCTTTCTTTCTTCTCTTCTTCTTCCCCATCTCCCGATAATTATTAGCCCCCGTTTTCTTTCGACGCGTTTGCTGTGCAGTGAAGCCGAGACCCTAGGTCGGTGGAGCACATCCGACCCCGTCACCACGTCCACGATTCATGCCTGCGATGCTGCACCGCTGCTTTGCATGTCATGATTGGAAGCTGTGGCCTTAGTAAAAAAAAAAAAAAAAAAAAAAAAAAACCTAGGCACTGCCGCGTTCAAGTGGGTGGATCCATTAGGTCCATTCACAGGTTCGCTTGTGCTGGATAGATTAAACCAAGGGGATAATGATTTGATGATGTTGAGCTACGTGATAAAGGATTTATATTTGCAAGTATGATGCAAGCCAGATATGGGTTGATCGAAGAAGAATAGATTTACCATCACTGTGGATAAGAGTCATACTGTAGCTCAGTTGGTTAGAGCATTGCTCGCGAATTGCAAGGTCCCTGGTTCGAGTCCCGGTGGTGTGACTGATGATTTTTTTCTTTCTTTCATATCTGGCTTGCAAGTGTTGAGTTTCGGAGAGAAAAGAGCAGTTCGTGGCGTGTGGCCTCTAATTTCCTAAAACTGAAATTCTCCGTGAAGTCCAAATTTGAAATTGCAATTTGTATTTGCTCGCAGTGGACGTAGTTTGATGCGCTCCCCATGGTATCAAGCGAATGGCCGAGGGCCCTCTTGATTGGTGTGAGTTGCCAGTATGATGTAAGCCAGATGTGGATTGATCGAAGAAGGATAGATTTACCATCACTGTGGATAAGAGTCATACTTTAGCTCAGTCGGTTAGAGCATTGCTCGCGAATAGCAAGGTCCCTGGTTCGAGTCCCTGTGGTGTGACTGATGATTTTTTCTTTCTTTCTTTCATATCTGGCTTGCAAGTGTTGAGTTTCGGAGAGAAAAGAGCAGTACGTGGCGTGTGGCCTCTAATTTCCTAAAACTGAAATTCTCCGTGAAGTCCAAATTTGAAATTGATAAAGAATAGTTTCCAAAAAGATACACTTGGTGTGACAAGAGTAAAGACTGCACGTAAGGCAGTGACTAAATAGTCATGCATGTGGAGGTAGCTCTGAGCAGTGCTGTGCAGGTAGTAATAATTCCGTCCATTCCTGTAATAGTTAATCTTCTGACTGTAGATGGTGTGATAATGTAATTACGGGCAGGACCACCTTGAAGCACGCATAGGCCTTGCACTCAAGGGCACTGCACAACTCCTTCCAGCTGGGGCGGTCCTGCGCAATCCGGTGCAGGCCCTGTAGGTCGTGCAGGTTATAGAGTTGACCATTGCGGGAAATCTTCAAATCGGCTGAGAGACCCGACTGGATAGTGGTGCAGGGTCGGCCCCTCCATTTCTTGGCATCCTTGTCTTTGAAGTAGTACTCCATTGCCATTCTTGCTGGACACTCATCTGGCAACCGAAGAATGTGGCCCAGCAAACGCCACTGCGCACTCTTCACACCAAGGTTCAAAGGCTCTAGGCTGCATCGCTGGTAAAGGGCCACATTGGAGATTTTCTGCGGCCATTTTACTTGGATCAGCGATCTGAGCTGCCGTGGATGAAACGCATCCAGCTGCTTCAGTGCAGACTTGGTCAGTGCCCAAGTGCTAGAGTTATACAGGAGAATAGGAAGTACAAGTGCCTTGTACAATCTGATTCTCCCCTTCTCGCTGATGCTGGATCCTCTCGTCCAGAGTGACCACAAAGATGAAAATGCTGCCGCTGCCAGTTGCTTCCTGCGGGCGACGTCCTCGCGGTCCCCCAGTAGGAAGCCAAGTTTCCTTGTCACACGCCGTTCCTCCTCAATGCGATCTACTCTTCTGATGAGAGTCGTGCGTTCTGTTTTGTCCGGATTCATGCGTAGGCTCCACTGTTGCAGTACGAGCTATTGTTTGGCAGCTATGTGCAGCAGTTGACTTGAGCACGTGTGATGCAACAGGCTCCAGGTCCCTTAGCCGGGCTAGAGATACACTCAAGAAGTCGGTGTCGTCTGCGTATATGATGTCCGGTGGGAGTGCGTTGTCGTCAATGCAACGCGGAACGGATGCCTGCCGGACCTCTCCCAGTGCCGCCTCGAGGTAGATCACAAACAGCACCGGCGAGAGTGCATCTTCCTGTGGAGTACCAATCGTGGTTGGAAATGGCTCTGAGCTTTGCGAACCGATGCGAGCTGTGAATACTGTGTCTGGGAGAAATATTATAGTAATAATAATTGGTACATACACTATCCATACATTCCAATCTAGCTTCTTGCTTGAAGGGTTATTCAGAAGGCTTTGGTGCAGTTAATCCAAGCTTGTTTGTGCGAGAAATATGCACCACCCTCCAGTCAAGAAAAAGCAGTTCCCCCTTGAATGGTAGCGCATTCCGCCACCAGCATTTGTTGTTCTCCGTGGAATGGTATGGAGATGTATGAACAGCAGCATTCGTGCAATCATCCTACTTGGCCAGAGCAGTGTTTTGCTTTATATATACAACCTTACAACACTGAAACCGAGAACTGTCCCACTGCAATCACGTCTTTCAGCTTACTGCCAGGGTCCAGCGGATAATGCCCGCATTATATTCGTCATTTTGAGACTATCCGAGCATCAGAGCATTATGGAGCATTAGAAAGGAACGAGACGAGCATTATGTGAGGTTTGAGCGGTATAACGAGTTTCATAGTGGATAATGTCGGGAAATGTCAGGTTTTTGGCAACAATCGGCTAAAGCCATGAGGTGCAACGCCATGACAAATTGTGTTGTGCTATCTTTCACGCAAATGTGTCTTAGAGGAGCTGTGCAGTCATCGTGTCGTTTTTGTTATTATGGCTATGCTGAGTCCATTCTGGGCCAATCTTCTAGAGAGCGCCCAAGCAATGCCAGCAGCAAAGGCCAACGTGCCATGCGTTCAATCTACTGCTACACATGACTTTGCGATTGCGTAGACACGTAACACCTTTACGGCTTAGCACTGATGCTACATTTACCTGACCACATAATGCCACTGCTACATACTAGTAAAATCTTTACGTAGCAATGTAGTCAGGTGCTACATGTGATGTAGCATGCCCAACGTTGCAACTGAGGCTGTTGCACAAAATCCGTAACGATGATTTACGAGGAGTTTTTTTTTTAGAAATCATGGAGAACCATGGAGGAGACTAGAGTAGATGTACGCGAAGTGAATATCAAACAGACGAAGAGAAGTTTCCTGTTAATAAAAGGTGTTATGCCTTTGGCTCTGGCCATAGCATCTCTTTCGATACTGAAGTGAACACTGATCCATTGATAAATTTGGACCTGGATGAAGGAGCCGCTATAAACTGAAGAGCTTGTTCCAAATAACTGCCTTTTCCGAGTCCAGCTCAGCAGGCTCGAAAAGAACTAGAATTTCTCTTGGACGCAGTACCAAGTCGATTTGAGTGCTCAGCAGCGCATGTCTTACTTTCCTGGTGAAGCACGTAGAGTTCGTCGTGGATGATTGTAATGCAAGGCCTACAGTCGAGTGCTATCAGAAAAGAAGAGTATTGTGGCCAACCGTTTGTCTCAACGCAACCTCAGGAGAAGAAGACAGCGCAAGCATGCTAGCAGACGATGTAGAGCGGCAAAATAACTTCTGACCATGTGTATTCAGGATTTCTGCAAATGGGAGGGATCTCAATCTGAGATCGTCACTGGCCTCGCGTGAGCTGTTTCAGATGAAGGCATTTTCACAGAGTGGAAGCAGTGACAGCTTGTCTGCAGACAGGAATATCACTTCCCATGATAAGCTTCCAGCACCCAAATCACCAGCAATAATGGTTCCACCTCTCACTACATGGATAAGCAGGGGAAATAATTGATACACCCATTATTCAGCCACAGCCCTGCATCAAAGTTGCAATGGAGAGCAGCCAATGGAGACGCGATCATGTCGTATAGTGCTAAGAAGTGACTTAAACGTGTTGTACGACTCTGCGTTTAACGCACAAGTAGACGATCATCAAATAACAGGTCAATGTTTTTCAACTACTGAAAACCTTTCTCACGGGCAAAACAAACACAATGGATTAATGCAACACAAAACTGGTGAAGAAATTAGGTTAAAGTTTATCATAATCATGCTCTGTTATAGACAGGAAGGTGAATCCAGTTGGCCATCCACAGATTGCAAACAGAGAACATAGTGCAAACCGAAAGAGGACGATGGACAATTGGTCGGTACCCGGAGTTTCACGTTAAGACTATCCCCAGACCATGTGATGAAATACAAACGTAATGGCAGTTACTCGTATTCCAGCGATTCAGATTTTAATCAGTGCTGGGATGCATCATGCATTGGCGCCCTAAAGTGTATGTCTCTGCTCTCGGGATGAAGAGGAACATACGCTCACATGGGCACTTCATACTCAGTCCATGTCAAGGTTGTCCAGAACCTTCACCTTGCTTGATGACCCTGGAGATAATTGTCTGATCAAAGTGTTGTGTCGGTCTTTGTGCTCCGCCCGTAAAACACAGCAACAACAAAAGAGTTGTATAGCCAGTGGCTGGCAATGGCTGATCCTATCAGAGAAGTAGGCCACTGCGAAGTGACGACAACGTTGGGCTGTGTCTGCTTTGCGCAGACTTGCACCGAACCACCATGATTGCCATGGCCACGCAGAAAGACACGTGCTTTCCATCTCTCTTATGGCCGTTGGAAAGCGTAACTTAACTATTCGATCAATCACTATGGACTGGTAAGACATGGCACGGGCTATCATGCGGCCGAATACATGTATCCTTGAAAGGACACCCGAGTATCGCAGTACGCCTGGGCCAAAAAGGATAAAGAGAAGGCATTCAGCATTAAATGGGTGGTACACCGCAGAGCAGTGACCTACAGCAACGAAAGCAAAAGGTGCAACCTGTGCCTGGCGGAAAAATTAGCAATCGCGCAAGCACCCAAGCAGCCCTCTCTCAACAAGAGGAGTGAACGTGTGTCAAAGTGTCGCCACGAGAACAAGTACTAACTATGTTACTTAGGAACTTCAAACCATGCACAGGCTACACCTACTCCAGTAGGAGACAACCAGCAACAGTGCCTGTCACTTGAAATGATAACTTTTTACCACTGCTGCCATTAGCACCTTTTAGATTTGCGCCATGATGCAGTCATTTACACTTTGCTTTGTGGGCATATAAACCAGTGCTGATCCAGATTTACTCATTTAATACTGTATTCTGATGATCGCCTATATATGGTACGGTTCGCTGCACTCCAATCAAGCGCGCCGTTCCCCGCCGGCGTAGCTCCGATCGACCCGCGGTTTTTTGCGCTTGACAGCTGAGATCCCACTGAAAATTTTGATGTATGGTAGGTTGCCATTTGAAAGTATGGAGAACGAACGCGCTCAAAAGTATGCTTTTCAGCGCAAACAATTGTCGCTGTTTCGATCGTGTTCTCGCTCAGTTTCTCTGCTTGTAGCGAAGATGTAGCTTGTTCTAGGTCATGTCGACGTCTTCTAGACGTGGTGGACGATTGGAGAGATCGGCTGTGGCGATATCATCGCGGAATGCGACTCGAAATTGAAAATTTGTATCGCTGATCCCATCGTAGTATTCGCTCTCAAAACAGGAGCGAGAGGGAGGGCAGCGATGGCCTAAAATCGTCAAGGCAGGCGTAATTTACCAGCCAGCGACTGCTTCTTGTCTTCTCTTTCACTTACCTGACGCTGGATGTGAGTAGATGAAGAAAAATATAGATTTCGAATCTGAGACAAGAATTCAAAATTTGCAATTTTGAACCGATTGTTTTACCTCAAATGTGTGAAAATATGACCATTTCCCTGGTATTTTGTTACTCTTCATGCACTGAGACAACGCTTATGAGGTGGTTTTGTCCCTATGTTTCCAGAACACGAGCACAAACTAATTCTCAGTCTATTTGTTTGTGATACCCTGGTTTGTCAGAAATATGCACAATTGGCGCGTATCTTTGGTATTCCACCTGTGGCCTTCATATATTACTGCATGCTGTACCAATATACATGCTTACCTGGGTGCAGTGATACATATGGAGTCAGGAAAACACAACTTGCATATACAAAAGTTGTCTAGATTTGTTACCATGGTTGCTTCTTTGGCTGAGATAGCCCTTTACATACATTAGATGGCTGGTACATAAAATTAAAACATTTTTCCGTCCTCCTACTGTTTTTAAACTAGCTCTGGCTCTCGTTGTTGAGCACTCTCTTGACAACCTGGAACCTCTCTGTTTTATCCTTGTAGCGTGCAACTCCAACATTCCCTGTTAGGAGCGCATGAATCTCCTTGATTTGGGTCGCTTACCGGCCACAAATTCCAATAGCTACTAGGCGTGTTTGCAATGCGTTGATCTCGGTTTCAGAGCTGTAGGCTTATAAGGCAAGTCAATATTCTGGTCAAACACGATATTTCCAATAACCTATTTTCATGCCTGCTGTTTCTGTTCCCCCCAGAGCAACAGGTGATGGTAGAATCGCGCTACCATACAGGTGGGTGGGGAATTGATTTCTCTTGAATGTAGGGTGGCGCGTGTTTATAGCACAACCAAGCTGGAAGGTGATCTCGAAATACCCAGTAAAATGACTTCTGGACAAACATTTAAAGAAGAAGACAAATTTTTACGTATGGACAGCATACATGTATGTGTGAGTTTTTCGTATGTTTTAAAAATACATGTCTGACTTGTGCCTTCTGCGGTGCGAACTCATAATGAGCAATTCAGATGTGGATGCAGATGCATGCGTACACCTACAGGCAAGTGTGTAGAGTCAGGGAGATAGATAGAGTCTGTTGATAGGCAGGCAGGTATGGGAGCAATACTCTTCTTAAAAGGTACGGTGCGTTCTAAAATTAAACGGGCACTATGGC